AGCGCGCCGCCGGCCTGGGAGGGGTTCTGGTAAATAACTTTGTATTTCCCTTTCCTCCGGGTTTGTCCGCTCGCACGTCCGGGCCTGCGACGGTGCAGAGAACAAAAGGACAAGATAATAAAGGTGAGCGCAGGTGGGGCGGTCTGTGGGCCCCGGCGTGGAGGACGAAGCAGGCGGTCGCTGAGGAGTAGCGGGCCATGTGGGCGCCGAATGTCTAGGGAGCAGCTTCCAGACAGGAAGTTTTTCCTCCACAGCTTTGGGGAGATAAAGCATTTGGGGAGGTTTGACAGGTCGGGAACTTTTGGAGAAGTGGGTGGTTAGAATAACGGCAGCGCGGTCGTTTTGGATGAGGAAGGCGGGGAGGCGCAGGGACCATGACTCCGCCTGTGCGCCCTGGGTGGGAGGGGCCGGCTGCGGGGTCAGCACCTGCCGGGCCCTGTGAGCTAGCTGGAAACCCCAGCAGTCACAGCCCTTGTCTCCTGAGGCCCTCGTCTTCTCTCATGATATCCTAGCTTGGGGTAAACCCCAAACAAACTCTTGTGAGAACCCGTAAGTGACACTTGGTGTTTACTTGGAAGGCTGTTTTCAACTAGCGTGTGTCGCTCGGGTATAACCAAATATGGTACCTCGTGTTTTAAGGTTGGACGAGGCTCCGCACGCTGGTTACCTTTCCCTTGCTTTCCTGGCCCAGCATCGTGACAGCGGACAGTTAGCAGAGAGCCAGATAGCAGTGAGTCAGGAGCGGCTCTCAGCCCCGTCCTTTCCCGGCTACCCTGTCCGAGCCGCCTGGTTCACTCTCCACATGGGGAGTTGGGCTTCTGGAAGTACCACGTCTGGCATACATATACCCTGGACCACTTCGCCTTTACCAAAACTCGCTCACGAGGTCCTCGCCTTATTTTGTCTGTACCTCTATTTTGTAAACGTCTATCGATTTGTGAAATCTTTCTCAAAAAACATAGCATTAGTTATTGCAAGTTCTGTGTTGTCATTCCTAATTAATTGTGTAAGAATCAGTTCCATGCTGGTTGTGTTCATTCTGAAGTAAAAGCAATTTCCACTAGAAATGGGTGTAGACTTTAGTATGTTTAATTTCTGTGCTTTAAAGTAATTCTTAAAAATTCAAACGTAGTATTTGTTTGTGCTGTTTGTTCTAGTACAAAATGGTTCTTTGCATCAGAAGGATACAGTTCATGACAATGACTTTGAGCCCTACCTTTCTGGACAGTCAAATCAGGTGAGTGTTTTTATATCAGTTTTGAGTGAACTTTATGATCCACCTTTGCTGTCACGTTTCTGATGTGATCTTAACCAACAAAGAGGCAGACTGTAAAGTACTAGAAATAGCGGGAAGCTTGCCAGCGAAGACTCGCTCTGAAGACTGGCTGTGCATGGAGCGTGGCCCGGGTGCCGTGCCGCTGGCTTTCTCTCCGGAGGAAACACGGGCACTGGCCTGCGAGCGGCGTTCTCGCGGGCCTCAGTGTCGGTGGCTCAGTGAGGCACTCACTGCCCCCGACAGAGTGGAGGTGCGAGCAGTTCTCGGACGTTTTCTGATGAGTTGCTTGTAGCTCTGGACGAGCGGAGTTGTGGTCTAGGAGAGCTGCTAAGAGCCTGGCTCTGAAGCCCAACTCCCACCTCGAGGTCGAATCCTAACTCCTCCGCTGCTTGACCTTGTGACGCTTCCTCAGGTGGCTCGCCCGCTGCCTGTTTCCTGGGCAACAGACCGTGGTCAGTCCGCACAGAGTTGCTGGGGAATGGCATCAGGTGCTGCACGGGAGGCCTGGAGGCGCGGCCGCACGATCTTCCCGGGTATTGCAAGGTTCCTCAGCCTTGGCACTGTGGGCCCCTTGGACTGAAATTGTCTTTGTTTTGTGTGCTGTAGGATGTTAAGCAGCCTCCCTGGCCTTTAGTAACTGCCTCCCAGTGTGACAGTCAAAAGAGTCTCGGCATGTGTCCCCTGGGGGGCCGACTTGCCCTGACCAGGCTGGTTGGAGCGGGTTTAAGCGTAGCGCGTCCTGGACACACTGCTGGTTCGCTTTGAAATCAAGGCAGGCCTCGCCTCCCCTGCTCTGGGCTGGAACCAGCTCGCTCCTGAAAAGCTGCCCTTCTCTAAAGTGTCTTTGGCCTTATCTGTCCTCCTTCCTGCTGTGCTCGGCAGGTCACCAGTGGAGGGTCCCTGAGGCTCTGGCCCACTGCCAGGCAGGGCACGGTGCCACAGGGCAGAGCCAGCTGGCCTCAGCGATGAGTCCACCAGGGGCACGGATGGCGAGAAGTAAAGTGGGCCTGTGTCCTTGACCGTCTTTTTTCCCGCAGGTGACTTGAATGCTGTGGCAGCGGTGTGCACTAGTTTTAACTGAAGGGGGTGCTGCTTCACTTGAAGTGTGTTCTGGGAGGCAGGAGCCTTCACGTCACTCGGCAGGGTCTCTGAAAACGGAACAGTGGTTTCTGGTGTCAGTGCGGTGGGTGCCGTTGCCCTGGGGGGGCTGCGTGGAGCCAGCCCTGCAGCGAAGCCGCGGTGATCAGCCTGAGACCAGCCCCTTCCCCTGTCATGCCGGAAGCTCACTTCTTGCGAGGTGGCCGTCAGCACTCACATGGGAGTGAGCCCAGCTCCAGTGGGAGCATGTTCTCCAGAGACGCCGCTGTCGAGGGTGGGAGGCAGAGCGCGCGGCAGGGCCCTCGCTTTGTGGGCGAGAGCAGAGAGGCCCTGGCCGGCCCCTTGCATCTCTGCGCTTGTCCCTGCGCTTGTCCCTGCGCTTGTCCTGGCTCGCTCCCAGGGCCGCGGCACGGAGCTGCCCCTGCAGTCAGGCCTGGGCGGCCCGTCGCTGCTCTCGATTTGGGCTCTGCCGGCAGATTCCTGTTAGGGGAGTCCCCGCTGTGCTTCGGCTGTGACTAGGGGTGAGGATGTGCCATGGTGCCCAGCCTGCCCGGCTGCGGGGGAGGGAAGGGGAGAGCCGCATGGCCAGGGAGGAGCCTCACGGTCTGTCGCTGTGCTCCCTGCTCTTGGAGGTGGTGGTGGCATGTGGCAGGCTGCGCACACGTGAAGGCACAGTTTGATGAGGACGTGTCCCTTGCACACGTGCATCTGTGGCTGCCACTGCAGACGGTGCAGACGGACCCATGGCTTGTGCTGCGTTTCCTTTTTGGCCAGATGTCCGCAGGGCCCGCCGGAGGCTGCGTGCTCTTGCTCTCTGAAGCCTTAGCTCCCAGGGTGGCTTGGGGGATGCTCACAGCCTGCCCGGTTTTTGGTGGGGCATGCTGACTTGTAGTGCACTGGCATAGGACTGTCCCCCAGACACCCCGACCTAGCGCTCTGGGTCCCCTCCTGTGACTCAAGATCAGATTAGTCTGTGTTTTGGAAATGACAGGTGGGGATGCCAGGGGAGGAGGGGACCCTGACGGAGCTGCACTGTCCTCCTGGCACCCCGTGCCTGGGGGACGCTGCAGCGACCCCGGGGAGTCTCTCAGTGCGTGCAGGCGGGGCCGGGTGGTACGGGCACGAGGGGCAGCCAGGGCACCTGTGGCCCCACTGGGAGCACTCTGGTGTGCCAGTCCTCCCTGACAGGGACAGGAAGGAAGAGCAGAGAACTTCGTCTCCCTCTGGCAGTCAGGTGTCTCCCAAGCGCAGAGGGGACGTTCGCTTTCCTAGGGAGGCCGTGACTCCTGTGCGGAGCTCCACGCGGCCCACGGGGAACTGTGCCAGCCCGTGCCGTAGCAGTCTGGGGGAGAGCCACGCCGGTCACCGTGTCCGGTGACAGGAGGTAGAGCTCCGTGCAGAGCAGGGCCACTGGGTCTGCAGCCGTGGCTCTGGGAGCTGCGGGCGGTGTGGGCTGGGCGCGGCGTCTCTCTTCTCCAGCGCCGCGCATGTGGTGTCCCCGCTGCCGTGCTCTGTGCCGGAGCTGAAACACGTTCCTCTTTGCTCTCTGTGCGAGAAGCTTCTGTCTGGCCTCAGATGCTTCCGTCAGCTGTCACCCAGCGTTCCGTCACTTTGAGGTGGTTTTGTTCACCCAGCGGCACAAAGCCAGGCCAGACGGAGGCCTCGCCAGGGTGCGTCCTCCACGCGAGGGCCCGGGCCCTGGAGGGGTCGGCCTGGTGTGGGCTTCTTGCCGCGTCGAACACTCCGAGGTCCCTAAAACAATGATGGTGGCTCACAGCAGAGGCTCGTCACCTGAGCGTCAGCTCACAGCACCACTGGGATCTCAGCACCCTTCCTCTCGAGGCAGTCGCTCAGGCGGCGCCCTCGAGGTGGCGTGTGCCTCGTGCCTGCCCTGCCGGGGGCGGGGTGGGGGCCGCTGTTGCAGCGTCAAGCACAAGAGGAGCAAGCAGCGCGCGGGCCGGGGCTCAGCTGGTTTCCCGGGGTCTGCGTCACTGTCCCTGTTTCCATAGTGGCTCTGG